ATATAAATTCAATCATTCCAAAAGAAGGACCCTAGTGAAGGGGAGTGTATCCTAGACTGCCACCTGGGCTTATAACATTCAGAAAAAAATTTATTTCTTTCACTCTCTAGATCACCATATTTTAATACTTTGATAAGACTCCTCTCTGGGAAAATGATAGCAAGTACTAATCCAAGATCAATTCCTCTCCTCCCCTACCTCTAAATGTTCTATGCCCTGCAGATTTTGAAAAAGCAGGGAGTGAGTTAGGGAAAGACACTTCGATACTAAGGGGAGAAAAATCAATAAAGTAGTAACCTTTGTAGGCAAATCGTGAGAAAGGTCACTTTTAATCATCTGGTATTTGTTGATTGATTCTACTCACATGAGACACATTTAAAACATTTGGTAGGTATCAGATTTATAAACAAACATGTAGCAAAAGAGAAATCACAAACCTGCTTGATGCTTCCCCTTGTTCTTTCCTTCAGGTGCGTGCAGGCAGAAGAGAAATGATGATAAACCAGTGAATATACTTATAGCACTTGATAATGGCCAAATTGGAGATTGGGGAATTAAGTACCTTAAGTGAGTCTTTTCATGCAAGATCCACAAAAGCAGTGTTCTTTATAATAAATGTACTCAACTTGCTAACATGTGTTCTTTGTGGTACAGACCTGAGATGGCACAACATTTACTTGGCAAAGCCAAGACTGCCCACATAGAACCAAAAACAATAGACTTTTCATTAGCCAAAGCCGTCCATGGCTAAGAAAAAGTGGTTCTGCTCTAACCAGCATTAGTGAGGGCTCTTAGAAAGTTGCTAGTTACAACGTAAGTGTTTTCTGTGCTTCTGGCAGACTTAGGTTTCTAAACCTGGATTCATTAATGAATTGTATCTCAGTCACTTGCTGAGGCAGATTTTTTTTTTTTGTATTGTATAAAATCGAAATTTCCATGGAGTAAATAAGGTACACAGAACATTTACCAAAACTCTTTTAGCCTATACTGTTGGGTGGCATTTGTAATAACTCATTTTAGCAAATTTAGGTCTAAGCACCATGATGCAGGGGCTGTACTCTTTGCGAATGAGCTGTGTGCCTTTCGGCAGGCACCCCGTTTGCGTGCCGATCTTGGTTTTCTTATGAGTAAATCAGAGGCTTTGAGTTAGATAATCTTCAAATTTCCACTTTTTAAGGTACCACATGGTGTTTTTGGAGCTTGATAATTCCCCATTGCCTCATGAAATATCTGACTTATTCCCTAAATGGCATATTTACCTGTGTTTGGCCCTTTGCATAGGCTTCACTCTCTTTGAAGAGAAAATAAAGAAAAATACCTCTTTCTATACATCCTTCTGTTCTTAAAACTTTGAAATAGAACAGCTAAGATCTCTAGAGTATATGTAAGAGACAAACCAGACCTGAAAAGAGAGAGTAAGGAACTGCTGGTTGCATCCTGGCAGGTTTGAGTGTCACTCCTCCCATACCTCTCTCCCCTGCACAGCTGTTTCTCAGACCTCTCTCTTATGCTACTTAGTGCAATCAAAGCATCCCACTGTGTCTCTAAAACTATGGGGAGCAAGAGCTTGGGGCTGGGTTTTTTTTTTTTTTTTTTGAGACAGAGTCTCACTCTCACCCAGGCTGGAGTGCAATGGCGTGGTCTCAGCTTGCTACAACCCCTGCTTCCTGGGTTCAAGTGATTCTCCTGCCTCAACCTCCTGAGTAGCAGGAAATACAGGTGTGTGCCACCACACCCGGCTACTTTTTGTATTTTTCGTAGAGATGGGGTTTCACTATGTTGGCCAGGCTAGTCTTAAACTCCTGACCTCGTGGTCCACCTGCCTTGGCCTCCCAAAGTGCTGGGATTACAGGCATGAGCCACTGCGCCCAGCCAGGGCTGGTGTTTTTTAATGATAATGATACCATTGATGATGATGATGACATTGTTGATAAAATTGATCTTCCTGGCCACCTGCTTGAAATTATAGCCTCTGGTGCTCCCTAAATTCTTTCTCTATTCTATGTTTCTCCTTAGCACTATTGCCATCTAACATATTCTATATTTTATTCATTTATTTCTATTGTCTATCCCAGCATCCCTTGAATACATACTTCCCAAGGCCAGAGATTCTAACTTGTTTTTTAAACTTAAACTGCTGCATTCTCAGTGTCTAGAACTGTGCCCTGCACATCATAGATGCTCAATGAGTAATTGTTGAATGCATACATTGACTGAATAAATGATCTTTCCCATCAGAAGTTCTTAGGCTGAATGCTAAAGGAAAATACACACTGCAAATAAAAAAGTAATTTTAGTCTGTTTGTTACTACATCACTCTGCATTCGGTAAGCCACTTAAATGTAAAAAGATCCCTCTAAGTCTTTGAAAATTATTGTCACTTGATTAAAGCAAGTTTGCTTCCTAAAGCAGAAGTTTTGAACTTTGCTTCAGGGAGTCTGTGAAATTAAAATTGTAGACAAAGTATTGATTTTCTTGTGCATTGAATATCTTTCTTGATAAAGACCCCATAATTTCTATCATATTCTCACTGGTTTAACAAAAAACAACAAAGATTAAGACCCACTGCAATTTGAGGCAATGAAGCATCACTGGAGGGAGAGATGTTAGGACATCCAGTTTCCCATGAACTTTACCAGTGACTGCTGTGTCATTCTGGACAAACAACTGTTCTTGATACAATGGGGCTGAGTCCCATGGTTTGTGAGATTGCAAGCAAAGGAAAGTAAGGGAAAGATTGACAGGCACAGTGGGACATGATGAATACAGGTGTTTGCATAAATCCTCCTCCACCTCCACCCCCACTTAAGACAGGGAAAATATCAGAGGAATAGAAAGAACTTATGTGAGTAAAATAATAGTTGATTTACTGGGGGAATTTGACTCATTATTAAACAGTTTTTCCAGGCTTCAGAATGACTTTTAATCTAAAAACTGCAGTAAGTGGGAAGCCAAATAATCACATATGACAATAGACCACTCTCCTCTGTCACTTGAGAATTCTCTCTTGGTGTTCCTACTCAGATTCCTTTTCTACATTTACTTGGCAAACTTCATGAAGACAAGAAATACAATTTCTATATAATTCTCATTTTTGGTTCATAGTCCCAAGGAATAGGTGGCACAAGAGTTATGTTCTATTTTTGTTTTTTTAGTATCAAAATGTTGAAAGGGTCTTATACTCCATAAAAAATTCAACTGAACTTCAAGATCTAAATAAAAAGAGTCAAATCCACACATGCATTCAACAGCATCCATGCTTCTATCCATGCTAAGCTTCCATCCTCTCTAAAATCCCTGGGGTGCAATGAATATCTCTGTCCTAGGTGCTGACAAGAATTTTAGACACCACCCACCAGGAGACCTGTCCCATTAGAGCTTAGGAATCATCAGGCCCAACTCTTGTCCTTCTCTTTATGGGTGGGAAAACTGAGGCCCAGGGCAGGACAGGGAAGTAATGTAGTTAATGATGAATCTGGTACTCCCCAATGGTGTGCATTCTGCTGCATCGTAAACTTCCATTAAGGTGGCAATGCCAGGGAATGCCATGGAGATTTCCCCAGCTGATATACCCCCAGATCAGTAAGAACAGGTGATTTTTCCTGAGCCACAGTACCTAGGTGTTCTGAATCCCATGATGCCACTAGGATTAAGGTTTTGTTGGGATATGAAGAAAAACAGCCATTGCTCTCAAACACTAAGTTGTATAAGCAATTTAATAACTTTTGAACAACCCGAGGAACTGACTATGCTAATTAAGCTGGCTGACGCACAGAAAGCCTTTCTGAGGACTTACTGCTTTGGTATTTCAATGAGGACATCTTTAATTAGGTGGTGAATATGATTTAACATTTTCTGTGATAGTTGAACTGGAGTCCACGGTTCAAAGACTCCAAGACTCCAAGATTAAGACAGTCCTTTTTTTTTTTTTTCTTAATTACAGGCCTCTGTGGTAATCATTATGGATCTCTGTTCATAATTTCCTTGATTCTTGCCTCCTTCTAGGCATATGGTAAGACTGTACTTCCCCATTTTCTTTGCGTTTAGACATGGCTGGGTGATTTACTTTGGCCAATGAAATGTGAAGAAAAATAATATTATTTGAAAATTGTGAATGCTAATTCCAAATTTTAATCTGCTTGGTCCCACTGCCTCATTGTAAACTGTAATATAGCTGGACTCCTATTCTTCTCTTCTTTTTGCCACTGACGTGCGTTTGATCTGCAAGTGAAAGCTTGAGGACCATCCAGAGGGGATTCATATGAGAAATGGCTTTGAGAGATTTAAACGTACAAAGATGAATTACTCTTGAAGCACTCATCTTTTGGGGTCAGGTGATGGGTACAAAATAAATAATCCTTGTTTTTCAAGAACTGCGGTGCTTACCTTTAGGATGCTGGTGGGCTTTATGAAACGAGACGTTAGAGAAAAACATAAATAGTAGAAATAAATCTCTATAAAAGTTCACATTCTTTTAATCTTTAATCCCAGTCTGTGGATTGTGAGGAATAATAGTGATTCTATTTAGTTTTGTGCCGGAATTGCTACTAAAAAGGTTTGAATCTCTCTAAGAGGAACAGAGAGTAAGACAAGCCAAACATCAACACCTTTTATGTGTGGGTATGGTTTGTTTAACAAACTTGAAAAGACTCAACTACAGCAGCAGCTGTCACACTGATACCTACTTGGTAGGGCTGCAGGTGTGCAAGGCCTTCAAGTGTGGCTTCCAGGTTGCAATGGAAACAGATTTCTCATCAGCTGCATAACTACGCCAAACACACTGCATGTGGCATGTGGCATAGACAGGGACATGAAAAAGAAAAAAGAGAGCAGGAGATAGAATAAAATCAGAAGAGAAATGATTGAGTTACTACACGTTAAGAATCTTTTGCTTCTCATACTTAGCCCTGATAAATACCCAAAAGAGGACGAAGGCTACTTTGGCATTTTCAGCTGGCTGTTAAACATTTTGCATCACATCAGAACTGCTTTTCATTTTTTATTTTTAAAAATTATTTATTTTGAGATGGACTCTTGCTCTGTTGCCCAGGCTGGAGTGCAGTGGTGTGATCTCAGCTCATTGCAATCTCTGCCTCCTGGGTTCAAGTAATTCTTGTGGTCAGCCTCTAGAGTAGCTGGGACTACAGGTGTTCACCACTGTGCCCAGCTAATTATTTTTTTGGATTTTTAGTAGAAACGGAGTTTTGCCATGCTGGCCTGGCTGGTCTCAAACTCCTGACCTCAAGTGATCTGCCCACCTTGGCCTCCCAAAGTGCTGTGATTACAGGCATGAACCACTGCACCTGGCCAGAGCTGCTTTTCAAAATAACACACCAAGCAGCAAAAGGCCCAAAAAGTACAATATAATGTAATTTTTGAATTGGTAAGGGAGATACTATATTATCCAAAACAAAAAGTAATGATTGGCTAAATACTGATTTCCAAGATAGTAGTTAGGTAAGCCACTTGAGCATGAACATATATTCCAGGGATTGATCTTTAATCAGTATTTGATAAAGGAGAAGCAAAGGACTAATGAAAATCCACTATGCAACTAGTAAGCTAACTAGTTAACTAATGAACACCAGGGTATGCTAATGATTTAATTATTGAAATCCTTGAATTACATAATACTTCTAATGCTAAAAATGAAGATAGTGATTACAAGAAGCAGAACTAAAACAAGATGGGGAAAATGTACTCTCTAGGTGTTTAGCTGGAAAACACCTAAGGATTTATGCCATGATCTAAGAATATGTTTATAGCTCTTTTATGTAAAACATAAGCTCTCTCCATTTCATATAATTATACTTGGCATACATAAGACAAAGTATTTTTATGTGATCCTCACAGTCAAAGTGTGAATTAAGATTCCCGTTTTGTAGGTGAGAAAAGAAGGGCTTAGATAAATGAAGAGGTTTATACAAGGTTGGTGGAGTTGAGACAGTATCTCGAATTGCCTGGCTCTCAGTCATAGAATCCCTCCACGGATACTTGCTGACTGCTTGAAGACTGTTGTTGGAAAAGCTTCTATCTGAACTGCTCATCTGAGAGATTGCTGACCTTACTTTCCAATATAGATTTTTGTAAATTTCTTTCTTGTAATGAGTCTACAAACATCTCCAATGGTCAAGTATTTACACCAATCTCCTCAGAGAAAATTTTTCATTATAGTGGATTAATCAAAACATTCTATTTTATGTGACAAACTTACTTATTTATTTGAGACAGGATCTTTCTCTGTCCCCAGGCTGGAGTGCAGTGGCATAATCTTTGCTCTCTGCAACCTCTGCCTTCTGGGTTCAAGTAGTGCTCGTGCCTCAGCCTCCCAAGTAGCTGGGACTACAAGCATGTACCACCACACGTGGCTAACTTTTATATTTTTAGTAGAGACAGGGTTTCACCATGTTGGTCAGGCTGGTCTCAAACTTCTGACCTCAAGTGATCTGCTCACCCCGGCCTCTCAACTTGCTGGGATTACAGGCATGAGCCACTATGCCTGGCAGACAGATTCATGTAAATGGGCCATAGTCCTACTATATAACCATCAGTCATAATTTTGAAATCTACAATGAAGTAAATGTGATCTAATAATATTCCTTTTCCTGAGAATATCATTGAATAAATGTATGCTGAATAGAAGTTAAAAATTGACACAACTACTTTGGAAAACCGGAAGTTTCTATTAAAGTTGAACATATATATAATCCTATGATACTTTCAACACATATGCTTATATATGTTCATTAAAAGGTATGCACTATATGTTGGTTTCTTAGTAAACTAAAGCCGGAAATGCCCAAACACCCAGCAACAGTAAAACAGAAAATTTGTAATACATTTACATAGTGCAATATTACATGGCAATAGTACATATTACTACACTCAACACTATGGATGAATTTCATGTGAATTATGTTGAATGGGAAAAAGAAGACACCAAGGAGTACATTTCCATAAAGCACAAAAACCAGGGGAAACTATTCTACGCTATTAGAAGGTAGCATGATGGTTATCCTTATGGGATAGTGATCATGAAGGGGTACACAGGAGGTCATGCTCTGTTCATCTGAGTGCTGGTTATGCAGGAGTGCTAAGTTCCCCTAGGATATGTGCTCTTTTCTGCATGCACATTATACTTCAGTGAAATTTCAGAAAATGATATTAAAAACTAGAAAAATATAGTAGTAGAACCTGAGGGACTTTTTATATTTTTAAGGAAGGTTTAAATGATTGAAACAGAGTTCTTTGCCTGCAGCCTTCTTACATAGCTTATGCTGATTTAATCTACAAATCTGTGGATATTTGTAGCAAGTATCTTAACATCTTACATAAGGCAACTATTGTTGTATCATCTGGAAATGTTAATTTTTTGTAAATATTATACACATACAATTTATAGAGTGATCTAGAATAAGTAAGGAAAACACATGGATTTATTATTTCAGCTTCTGTGGTAGTGAAGACCAGAGATCCTCTAATACTGTGATGACACAGATGGCTGCTTTAATTAAACAATTTCCATAGAAGGCATCACATATATATGAATTCTGATACATTGAAAGCAAGACTCCTGTAGAAGTAGAAGCATATAGCAGATCTGTACTATCAGACTACCAGTGAAAAAAACCCAAAACAACAACAACAAAAGAATGGGACCAAGGCATTGCCTGTGAGTGTTATAAAGAACTGGGGGCAAAAGAGGCCACTCTGAGAAAACTAAAGATTTTCCTTACAATGAGACCTGGTGTTTTGCTCTTTTTCTATCAAATTGATCCCAGCAGCTAAGGCTTGTTTCCTTCATTACTCATCTCCCAAAAATGCCTTTTAAATGAGAGGTATAGAAGGCGCTGGTGGCATCTGTCACATGGCTGATAATAGTTAACAGTTAAAGCGAAGGTGGAAAGTGTAACTCTATGCCCCTTACACTCTAATAACTTTGTTTTGTCCTTAGCTCTCTCTCTCAGCAAATTGTTTCTAGTAGCTGAACTTTGAGCCCATATCCCTGTGATCCAGTAGCTGATGTTCCTATATTTAAAGCCAAAATCACACAGTAATTGGCAAGAGAAAAATAACTGTTTAGAGGAATTTCCTATGGTTAATTTACATGGCGTATACAATTCAAAGGACAAATCAACAAGAAGCAAAATGAGAGCCAAATTTACCATTTACCAGGTGATGCTGGTGCTCTAGGCAGCCAAACAGATTTGAACTTTGCTCAATAAGTACAATGCCAGCATAATTCAGTTTTTTGGGAGTATTTTGTTTGTCTTGCTTAGAGTATTACAATTACTGCATGTTTGATCCTTACTGGAAATGGTCTAGAAAGTTTCAGCTGACCATCTAATGGAATAATGAACATGGAACTTATTTTTTCAAGGTACAGAGTTTAAAATGTCAGAGTCCTGAAAGGTTTAGGCTATTAATTAGCCATCCCTTTCCACACTTCTCTTCACACTACTTTCTGTTTCTCAGAGGCAACCCCTTCAATTCTTATAGTTGTTGCTTCTATTTTTAAGAATCCTAATTTAGTATTACTATTTTTTTGAGATGAGGTTATACTCCGTCACCCCGGCTGGAGTGCAGTGGTACGATCATAGCTCACAGCAGCCTTGAACTCCCAGGCTCAAGCAATCCTCCAACTTTGGCCTCTTGGGTAGCTAGGACTACAGGTGTATGCCACTGCACTTGACTTATTTTTATTTTTTTGTAGAGGTGGGTCTCACTATGTTGTGCAGGTTGGTCTTGAACTCCTGGCTTCAAGTGATCCACCCACCTCAGCCTCTCAAATGTGTGGGGATTACAGGTATAAGCCACTTGCGCCCAGCCAAGAATGCTTATGTTTAAGGATTATGCTTATGGCTATATTTCTTGATTTTTCTATTTTAGACATTATCAATTAAATTCCTATCATGAAAGATGGCATTGCCCACTTGCATGTCCTCTTCTCCTTTCATCATATCAAGATTTTAATATCACAATTCTTAATTAAATTACCATTTAATATCTGCATTATTATGACAATGTAACTTGTTTTCAGTTCAGCAATGTAATGTACTATGGCTACTCTTTCTTACACAAGTTTTTGTTCTTTTGGGAGTTATAATTGCCCGATTTTAATTTCTTGATTTGCATATATGTACCTGTTATAAATACATTCCAGATCTTTCCAACAGAACTATAAAATTCCTCTGGTCAAACGCATCATGAAATCTGAGAGTTCCATTCTTTCGCTTCCTTGAAGATCTTTTTCCTGGAGCTCTCAGCCTCCCCTTCATTCTGTTCTCAAGGCCTGCTGTAGCTATTGTGTTGGGACTTCCCTTCTTTATCATCATAGAAATCCCCTTTGCTCTTTCCTCTGTGGAATCTCATGTTTCCTTGATCCCACCTCTCTCTCCCTTGGCGCATCCCCATGTTTTGGTGGAGAAATTCTATTTACAAAGTTTCTTGAGTAAAGGTAAATGGCAGGGTAATTTTTAAGATCTTGCATGCCTAAAAGTGACTTGGTGCTGCTCTCACACTTGATGGTGGTTTGGGTGGATATAGAGTTTTAGGTTGAAAATAATTTCTATAATTTTGAAAGTATTGTTTCATTGTCTTCTAATTTTTGGGTTATGAATGAGAAATCCAATGTCATCCTTATTTTTGATCCTTTGGCTATGTCCTCCTCAGAAAGCATTTAGGATGCCCCTTTTGTAAGTTTTCTGATATTTTACTATGATAATTTGGGGTGAAGTTTTTGGTTCACAGTGCTGGGCACTTGGTGAGCTCTTCTACTATGGCCACTCCCATCCTCCTGTTCTGGAAAATCATAATGTCATATTTCTTGGATAAAATCCTCCTCGTAGTTTCCCTGCACTTGAGCTGAGATATCTCTGTTAGCTGGATATTGGAATGCCTGGATGAGTCCTTCATGTTTCTCATCTTTTTTTGCTTTATTTTCAATCTCTTTTTATTCTACTTTCAGGGAGACTTTCACAACTTTATTTTACCTTTTTTTTTTCTTACCTTCATGTTTTTCACATCTAAGATTTTTTTTTCTGAGTCTGTTCTTATTTATTTATTAAAGAATGTGGTCTTACTGTACTGCCCAGGCTGATCTTGAACTCAAGTGATCCTCCCCCATCTTAGCCTATCAAAATGCTGGTATTACAGTAATGAATCACTGCATCTGGCCCTGTTTTTATTTATGACTGGAGCACTAATAAGATGTAAAATCTCTATATAAGTGGCTTGAGCTTAATGACTAGTGGCTTCACTTTAGGGTAATTTGGTGAAGACTAAGTCATTTTACTGGGGGAAGCCAAAGTTTCAATACAAACGTATATTTTTCTTTTGGGTCAGTTAGCATCAAAGCAACATCTTCTAATCTATCCCTACCAGCCTTTATTTCACAAACTTTTACTTAATTCCCTGTTTCTGTTTCTAATAAAGCACCCTGACCCCACCATAAGCTAGTCCAATCTCTCCAGAAGTAAACCTTTAACATGGAACTTTTGAAGAATCTTTAAGTGTAAGTCCCAAGCATCCCATACATCCTCATATATTTACAAGGATGACAATGATGCTTTTAGAAAGGAGTAATGGATTCAGATTCAGACAGCAGGGATTTGAGTCCTAGCTCCTCCTAGGCTTGTCTTGAGGATCAAGTAACATAATGTATTAGAAGCACCCTGCAAACTAAAAAGCACTTCATGAGTCTTAAGCATTATTAATAAAAATTGTGACATTTGGGCAGGTATTCAAAACATTACTGAGAGCTGATTTCTTTTTTCCAGACTGCTCCAGCTTAAAATGAAAAGTTAATTTAAATGAATCATGCAAAGATATTGACACAGCTAAATTTGCTGCAAGCTTCTGGGGGTTTACATTTTTTCCTAAAACCCTGAAATGTTGGTTAATTTAGTTCTCTCACCAACGAAATGATGAAGCAATTTAGGCATCTCAGCTGCCCTTTTAAGAAGATAATGACTCTGGCCTAAAATAAACAAGACGCTTTTGGGCTTGATGCTTTGTGTGTTCAGCAAACCAAGTCAGGTTTATTGGGTAAGAAAGTGAATGGGTCAGTAAATGAAGTTGCTTTTCAATCTACTGCATCCTGAAATATAAATTTCTACAATATATAATCAAGGCTTAAAGCCTTGAATTCTGTCTAAATACAGCAAGGAAAAACAATGAACAAATTCAATAATTATATTATTATTTCTATGTCTAATAAATAATTGCATTTAAGTGAAGGAGTTATTGCTTTTAATATTAGTAGATTCTACTTTGATTAATGATATTATGATTAGATTTTAAAGGTACTCTTGAATGCTTCAAGCCTTCCATTTTGCATTATTTCTGTTATGAATAACAAAAATAATAAGAACAACATATAAGTTGGAGTTTTAAGTAAAATAAAAACTCATTGATTTTGCTTCATTATTACCTGCAGGTGTCCAAGTTCAATAACTGATCACAATATATATTACATAACTCAGTTCCATAAAATAAAATTCTAGCCCTCCAAATAAAACTGTTCAATTAGCCTCTTCTCCACAGGGTTACCTGTGAGGGAGGCCTTGCCTTGTTTTGACTGTAGACATACAAATGCCTCTCCTCCAATGATTTGCGTAGAAATAGCAACTCATTTTCAAGTTCGATTGGAAATTGTTCTTGCACAGTGTAGTAGTCAATAATAAGTTAGATCAGGAGATTTCCTGCAGTTATTCTCTATATTTCTCTTGTACAGTATGGTAGCTGATGGCCCCTTATAGCTATCAAACACTTGAGAAGTGACTGGTGCCACTGGCAAACTTGGCTTTTAATTTTAATTAGTTTAAATGTAAAAAGCTACATGTAGCTAGTGGTTGCTGTATTGAGCAGCACAGCTTTCTATCATCACAACTGATATGTGCATGAGAAATTCCTCAAAGAGCTCACTTTCTAACATAACAGCTGATATTCCAAGAGATTTTATTGTGTGAAATGTATTATTGGTTCCATATGTAGATAGGGCTTGGTGCTCAGATGGATGCAAGGAACCCATGCAATAACTTCTGTACTCACAGGCTGGAAAACATTGTTCTAGAGTGAAGGGAAATTAAAGGATAAGAACAGTAAAGAAAAAAACTTATTAGAAGCATGAGAACATGTGTAACCAGTTAAGGAGTACTAAAGGATGAAAGGCTATGAATTCTGGACTTTGGGGTATTTTGCATGTGTCCTAAAGTGTGTGACTCATCTTTTCATTCTGCCGATTATTGGTTGGCATCAGATCTTAAACTCTAACTACGTAAGAATCTTTTTGTTTGAGGAAATAGAGTTTACTTTCTCTTTAGTGCCCTTTTAAAACCCGTAAAGAATATGTAAAAATATTGTAAAAAATAAAATGTAAAAAATAAGAGGTCCTCAGTGATTTGCATTGGAAGCCATGCCCGATGGTCCACTTTCTTGTCAACAGTTGCAGAATAGCTTGATTTAAAAATTAATATCCTCATTTAGTGATTAGATACAAACAGATCTCCTTCGTGATATAATGAGCCATACTGCCCTCTCCTTTTCCCGGCTCCATGTCTGTGGGAGGCACTGCATGTATCACAGACACAGATAAACACTAAAGGCAGGGGTTGTGGTGGTGATCTCCCACCACCCACCCACTCAAACCCACAACCTAAATTATAGCAGTGTGCTTGTTATTGCAGCATTAAGATAAGCTTCCTAGGGCCTTGGAGCACCACTTTAAGCCCCTCTAGTTTAGAAATTCTGTAGCTTCCACTTCCCTAGCAGGAAGGGGGAAACTTTAGATTGTAGAATTATTTAGTCCATAACTAAATGTCAACTCTACATTATGAATCTAACAAAAAATATATTTTGTGATTCTTAACCTGAATCTAGGATGGCAAATATATGGATGGCAAAAAGAAAAGCATTCCTTTTAGTGCTGAAGCTAATCCTGAGCTACTGAAAAGTAAATGAAATAATAACAACCTATGGATTATGAGCTAGCTTCAAATTATATGCTTATTGTTTAATATTCTCAAACACTGATGTATTCCATAATCCCATCGGCTCTCAAAATAGGATAACTATTTCCACTTACTTCCCTCAATGGCACTAAAAGCAATTTCACAGGTATTAAACCTTGACATTCTAAACAAATATGTTGTTCTTTAAAGCAGCGACATACATCTGGCTGGAGAAAGTAATTGTAATGCAGGGAACAATGCCCTGTTCTGCTCTACCACTTAATGATCAATTATGTTTCATCAAGTAATTCATAAGATGTATTAGATAATTCCAGGAGCAACATAACTGCTAACCTTTGTATGGCCTTGCTGACATGGTTACTCAGTCTGAACAATGCATGGATCATTTGCTAAAAATACATGTTTTTCAGATTGAGAGAGGAGGAACACCTGCCCAAATCCAAGGCTATATATTAAGTTCTGACTTCATTTTTTAAAAAGGAACAAAGCAGTAGTTCTACCAAGCAATGAAACACAGAGATTGGAAAATGACCCATCAAGCACTATGGACACAGATGTTGCCATCTACCTATTACATTGACATTTACCTGAATGAGGTTGGCAGCTGGGTTCCTTCTTTTCTCAAAGTGTTTCTGGCGGTGCTGTTCTTGTACTTTTAATGCAAAACCTGAGCCAAGAATGCCCTGGAACAAAATACAAAAATGGCACTCAAAAACGTCAAAAGCACGGTTAAATAATACAAATATTGAAAAGTCACTAAAATGAGTCTGAGAGAAGACAAATAGTATGTAAGCTGTCCAGAAACATGTTACTTGTTAAAATAAGCAGTATTTCTCCCCATTATAATACCATCAGCCAATGACAAACTGTTGGGCAATACTGCCAAGAGATACAACATCTGTTCTTTAGTAAATCAATTAGGCATTGTCATTTATTATCTTTTGTGGTATAGCAAGAAGCACCATGATTATAAATAAAATCACAATAAAAATGTGTGTGTGTGTGTGTGTGTGTGTGTGTGTGTGTGTGTGTGTGTGTCCTTCTCTGTGACATTTCTTTTTGCTTAAGTTAGGGTGAATGGTCTTATTCAGTGATGGAGTGTAGAGAACACGAATTTCAGCTTGGGACAGAGCTGGATTTTAACTCTGGGGGGGTTAAAGTCTCACTGCTGTGAATGGGGAATATGTTTAGCACTTTGTGAGACTTTAAAAGTTATATTCTCTATTCATGAAATGGAGGAGAGAGGACGGTATACAATCTGTCCCAGCTGTAGTTCTTTATAGTGTTACAACTCTATACCTACTAAAAGAAAAGTAAAATGGAGGAGGAAGGGAATACCCAGTTTTGAAGACACATAGTAGAAGATTTTCTATTTTGCCCATTCGTATAACAGAGACAAGAACAAGGATCATTGCAAAGCCCATTTCCATTTTAATTCATACTTTTACCATTCCTTATCTTTTTGATTTTGGTTCACCCACTCAGTTTTTGGGATTAGTAAGATTAGTATTCCCTTCTAGGTTTATATTAGTTTTTGGCCAGTTTGTTTTCCTTCTGCTTATCATCTTGATCTGCCAAAATTCTGGTGTCTTTGATGTTCCCCACTGTTCAATTTTTTCTGGTCTACTAGCATTTGTGAAAACAAGATGCTTTGTCTCAGCCTTGGGTTGACTTTTGGAGCTCGCTAAATTCAGTCTCTGGGCTTTGTCTATAACTCTTGACTTTATTGGCATGAGACTGGGAGCTCTGCTGCTTTCAAGTCTGTGGATTTTACTTGCTAGCTATAAATTATTAGCTTTTTATTAAACTTCAAGGAGTCTAACCCTTAGGTTATAGATGAACATTTTATAAGCACTAAGTCAGTTATGTGCCACAGGTAAGGAATGGTTGTTCTTCTTTTCTTTATATTTTTAGAGTAGCTCGAAGATGGTTCAAAGATGCCACAGGCTGCCTGGAGAGGCGGTGGGTTTTTCATCTTTAGAAGGTGTTAAGTCTCAGCTGAATAACAACTTGGCTGAGATATTTTTGGGCTCTAGATAGCCTTTAACCTTCCTTCTTATCTTGAGATTCCATAATTCTGAGTACATCTGTGACAATAACCAGACAATAAGTAATACAATCATGTTTAAAATATGCAGTGGTCTAATAATACTATTTGCTATTCATGAGCAATGATCTACTCCATTATTAATTAGTATAAATGACTGTACTATGAAATTAGAAATTACATCATAGGTTCTGTTTTCCATCTCTCTTTTTCAGTGACTGTCTTACACTGTCTAAGATCTCTATCTCATACAGGTTGTGATTGTACAAACTCAGCTTTATAAAAACCTGGTCTCTGTGATCTGGTTTATAGATTTAAACAACGTTTCCCTCCATTTAGGAGTTATAAAAGTGCCCCTCCATTTCTAAATCCAGAACAACTTAAGTCATTTGTAACTTCTAATTTTTTTCTGCTATTTAAGATCATTTAGGAAAGATTCCTTCATTTTCCCTTTAATATTACTTTTCATAAAGTTTAGACATGTAAGAGCATATGAAATATTAGAATTTCTAGCATCTATATTATATATACATGTATTTATGTGCATATTTGTGTATAATCCACTTGTATGAAGCATAATTCAGATTTTGTAAACATTGAATTAACAGCAGTAGCAACCATTCTGAGCATTTATTATGTGCATATGAGGTTCAGAGTTTAATACCCTTTGGAAAATAAAGACAGGCCCTACATAGCACAAATCTGTTATCTGCGAAATAATCTAAAATGTGCTGAAACTCACATTGGCATTGCTCGGAAACATATATTACTGAATGGCAAATGTTTGCTACGTATCTCTTGCGCCAGACTGTACATTATAGCAGTTATTAAACCAGGTCTGCTTATTGTCTCATAATGGCTCTTTTCCAATTTTTTTCCACCTCTCTCTTAGTACACAGCTCAGTGCACCTAAATAGAAGTCTGTGAAAATAAAGTCTATTATATATATACACACATAAAACATGGCTTAAGCTTTGAACACATGTGTCATCCCTCCAAATATTGACACCAATAGATGTAAATTCTTAGACATTGAGTCTTGTTTTAATTCATTTTCTAAGACAACAAGACTTAATTTTTTAGGTTGTACGATTCAGCACTTTGCTGAGAACTGCTGCATAAACACCAAGTAGAGAGGAAATACGTTTTGGTCTAAAAAATATTTACCCTTCATTATCTTCTGGATTATATGAACCTAATTTGTAACCCAAACATAGCAAAGGCTATGCTGAAAGATACCCTATTTTTAAAATGGTTGTTAACATTTTATTATCTGCAACAATTACATTTAGTTAATATGGTTAATGATTACAGTGGCCATTTTTTTTAATTGTGTGGCTAATATCTTGAGTCAAACAGAACTAATTCTTGCACTGAATTTACTAGCTGGAGGTCTCAAGAAATTCAGTCTCTATAAAACTCAATTTCTTCATCAATGAAAAGATACTCTTAGCAGGAATATCTAGCAGAAGACAAGGGAGCACCCTAAAGAGGAGAAAGAACTGCTTATCAGGGTAACAGAGAGGAGCTGGGGCTTCTTCTGTGAGCTCATTAGCCCTGAGATGGAGGGGCAGCAGGGGCAGCGACCCCACAGTGGAGCTTTGGAAGGGTGGCTTGTGTGACTCTGTGATGTACAGGATAGCCCTTCTGCATTCGAGGGTAAGATGGAGAAAGGCTCTTTTCTTTCTTGGTTCTCAGGTGTCCTGGGTAAGAGGAACCCTACACAGGGGTAGCCCACAATTCCCCTCAAGCTGTCTCAGCAAAATTATCAATATGTCTTCCTAAATTTAAATCAGACAACACTATTGGCTGGCAGGTACACAGGATAAAATAAAATCTCTGGCCACCTTGTTTTTTTCTAAAGGTATATATGGACCATTTAGTTTTTCATTTAATAAATGAGGAGTCAGAAAATATCATGGGATTTCAGTAAAAGATCTATAGTAAAGGTGACTTTTCTTGGCATTGTTAAGAAATATTCTTTTCTGTGAAAGCAAAATTTTCAGATTTCCAATTTAATTTAATTTATATTAATTTAATTTGTATATTAAAATTTCATACTTAATTTATTGGAAACATTTCCAAGAACGACTACTTAGTCTCTGACCTTTAACTTAACCAGTGACATATTTAACCTCCCTGTGATAGTGCAGAGTTTCCTCATGGGGACTGGCTTTTTGCTGTGCTAGATGCAGCCAACTTCCAGAGGAGTGTTGACCCTAACACTAATTGGCCCTAGATCTTTACACATTTTGTTTTATCTTTTTATTTTATTTTTACTGACCACCTTACAACAAGATACACATTTTGAACATTTATGTCTCCTTGCTACTCACAGATTTCTTTCCCCTCCTTTGCTGTTGGTCTTTTACCATTTCTTTCTGTTGCAGTGTTTGGTCTATCAGCTTCCTCTGTATTTGTAGTTTATAATCTTCAAAGAATTGTGAAACCATATATGTGAGTTTATCAGAATTTTCTAGGAACGAAGACTAGGTTATGAATTAGATCTCAAGTGGCTCTCCTATGAGGACAGAACACTGTCATGTCTATTTCAGCAACCCAGAGGTTGCCTACCTCCTTTCACAGTTTTTCACTGAATCATAGAGGTTGCTATAAATGTGGCCTCAGGATAAATATAAGCACAAAAGCTGCTATTATTTTGTGCCATTATTTTGGGAAAAAACCCAAGACTGTGTTGTACTGTTTCTAAAGGTATTTTCCTGTAGGGAATCTGATTATTGAGTGAATCTCTTCTCTGTTCTGAATTGTTGAGATTGCCAGATGAAGTTGCCTTGGATACATAAGATTTTATTTTTTGACTCTCCTTGATTTCATCATTTTGTTCCAGGAAACATGTATTTCTAGATTCATCCTGGTAAAGGGAAGTAACATTTATTGAGAGTTCTCTTCATGACAAGCACTTGACTTACATTATTGCATTGGTCTGCACAAAATTTCTCTGGGCTCAATAATTCTTCTTACATTCTAATAAAAAAGAAACTTGTTCAGGGTCACTGTTCAGGCTAAACTGTGTCCTTCTGAAATTCCTACGTTGAAGTCCTAATCCCCATGACCTCAGAATGTGACCTTGTTTGAAAATAGGGTCCTTACAGAGGTAATCAATTTAAAACAAGGTCATTAGGATGGACTGTAATCCAATATGACAGGTGTTCTTATAAGAAGTAGAAATTTGGACACAGATGACATGAAGACACAGGAATAAGGGCCATCTATAACCCAAGGAGAGAGGCCTGGCACACATCCTTCTTTCATGGCTCTCATGGCTTCTCAACACTTTGACTTTGGACTTCTAGCCTTGGGAGCTGTGAGGCAATACATTTCTATTGTTTAAGCCACCCAGTCCGTGGTACTTGTTAAGGCAGCCCTAGTAAACTAAAGCAGTCATATAGTAAGTACATGATAAAAATGTAATTCAAACTGAGGTCTAGTACCCAAGCATACACATGGACTTTTCAGTCTTTCTGTGATTTTGAGTGTTCTGAGGCAGAACCACCTGGTGAATCTCGAGTTGGGCACTGGTGGGACAAGGGTGTCCTCTGTACTCATTAACAGGCTCAGGAGAAGCGCCATGAGCTAAAAGGGCTTTGGAGAGGTGCTCCGGGGTCTTTGGTTGTATAGCTTGAGCTGCGTCTGGAGCAAGACTGGAGCTATTTTCCTTTAAGCACTCCTGCTGCCAACGCCTTACCTCTCCTTTTGGTTGGCTCCTCCTTCCCCACCCAAGGTGGAATAAACAAAAGCAAGAACTTGGAAACGGGGGCAAACTGTAATATTTTGAACAGCTGCCTTTAAAGACACAAGAGAATAAAATGATCGGAAAGGCAGGCTTCATTCACTGAAGAGAAAATAATCAGAAGCTTGGGGGCAGATTAATGTGCCCTTTATTCTGATAAGATACAGAAACTGCTCATTAAAAAAATCAATGATGATGACACAATGAATAAATCATCTGCCATGTTTAACACCCTTTAAGGTCATATGCTTTTCAATCAAATGGATCTGAAGAGAAAAACACTCCACTGTGCATATCCATCTCTTAAGTAGCACACATTATAAACCAAATTGGAAGGATCAGTTTTAAAAGAAGATAGCTTTATGTCTTTGCAAATATTTTAAATGTCTTAGTAGCATGTTGCCTAAAAAGTGAGCCATCTGAATTATTATTTGGTCATGGAATATGAGCTAATATTAAATAAAGTCTCAGGTTAAGTGTCTCCAAGGGAAGATCATAGTTTACAAATTATCCAAGTAGATATATTTAGAGATGTCAACATGTATCAGAAAAATTATATTTGTAAATGATATAGATATGTTCCCAAGCATACCAATTTGTGAGAGCTCACTCTAATAAGTCTCTAAGACCTAATTTAAATCGGTTTATTGGTGCAAAGATACTCACGGCAGGAAGTGCAAAGAAAGAAATGCCAAGGAGTGCAAAGCCTGCAGAAAGCAATCTTCCCAGCCAAGTTAGGGGAGTTTTGTCTCCATAGCCAATAGTTGTCAATGTAATCTAGAAACAAAATAAATAGAACGTGCAGCTTAAGTACTTGAGAGGAAAGTTAGGATCTATGATCAGGAGGCAAGCAATGTTTCCACTAAATCATTATTCAACAAATCTTGTTGGTGCTTTTTATTACTGTGCTTTAATTTTCCATGACGCATAACAGAACTTCTCTTTGTTTAAGGAAAAGAATAACCTACATACTTGTTCCTCCCTTATAACACAGTTTTCCATCTTTTCTAAGTGTATTCAAAGAAAGGTTATTTAAGTAAGTGGATAACCATCAGTGATACAGAAATGATAGCACTGTGGATTTAGGACTGGGTCAGTTTACAAAATAATAATTTATGTTAATTTAGAGAGTCCATTCATTACCTTGGCAGGCATTTCCTGAGGGTCTGTTGTGTGCAAGGTATGTGATAAGATTTGTAGTGGAACAAAAATCAGGGTATAGTTCTTGTCCTAAGATACTTATGGCCTAATAAGAGAAATATGTCACACACAAATAATTAAAATACAAAATAGGATGAGGCAGGTATTATGATGAAAGTAAAAATAACCTGCTATGGAAATTCAAGGAAGAGATTAGTTATTATAAGCTTGAGGTGTTGAGGGAGCTCTTGGCTAGGGAGATGTCATCACACCTGGGCTTTGAAGTAGGATTAACATCTTGAGAAGCAGAAATGATAAAGAAGGTGACCTAAGGAGGTGAAAGAGGTGGCTAGCTGCAGAACAGTGAGAACACATAGAGTAGTTTCTGAAAAGTACGAGTTGTTCAGCTGGACTGGGGCATGGTGGATTTGAAAAGGATTAGTGGCTTCTTCAACTTATTTTATTAATATTTTATAGAGTACAATGTACAGGTCTTTCAGCACCTTGTTAAATTGATTCCTAAGTATTTTATTTTTTGTAGCTACTGTAAATAGGATTGTTTTCTTGATTTCTTTTTTAGAAAGTTTGCTGTTAGGATATAGAAATGCCAGTGATTTTAGTGGTGTTGATTTTGTATCCTGCAACTGTACTGAATTTATTTGTTCTAGCAGTTTTTTCTCCTGGAATATTTAGAGTTTTCCATATATAAGATTATGTTAAAAAAAAAGATTATGTTGTCAGCAAACAGCAACAATTTCCTTTTTTC